TTCCAACCCAAACCATTCTATGATCTTAAAAGTCTCTGCTTTCCAACAACTCTTCTTGAAATAATGTAATAGTGCAAGAAATGTTTCTTCCATTCTTACAGGAAAACTTTGGGAGAATTTAGATTATTCATCTTAAGCTTCAATATCTGCTTATTCAACTTGCTTTGCTTTCTGTGGTAGACACAATAGTGACTATTGAAACAGACTTTTTTCTTCCTCTGTAATGTGCTTCCGAATTGGGTAGATTACTGATGATGCAAATAGATTTTAATTGTGCAAAAGCTAGATACTCAGTGCCTTGGAAAGGCAGTACCTGATTTGTAGAAGAGACAGCAGAAAACAAGCTTTCATGAGTTGAGTTTTATAAATAGCACCACACTGTAAGCAGGTGACAAATGAAAATGGTTTGGTTCCTCACAGCTGGCAGATAACTACTTTTGGGCGTTGGTAACTTCTGCATCACCTTTGGATGCTTGAGTTGTCAAAAGTATTTGTTACCATCTACTGGTTGTTCTGGTCACTTGCAACACTGGCAAAGACAGAACATATTTGGCTGTGGCAGAAATTTAGGGTCATGCTTTTATTTTTTGGGTGAGGTGTCGAGGCTGTGATTTGACATCCTGGTTGGCCTACTTGTCAGGCATCTAATACCCAACAGGTCAAAAAGGCCAGTGCCAGATAATGGAGGGTATGGAATGAACTGGCTTGTTAAACACGTCTTATTGGGTTAACTTTGTACTGGTAGGATTTGTATTAGATCAGACTTTTCTCTCTAAGCTACTGTGACTTTCTGCTGGTTCATGCATCACCCATCTTTCTGCACCTGGTATAAATATGGCATGTGCTCCAGGTTAAGTGCTCTGGTTAATTCAGTGGAATCAAGGTTTTCTGCCAAAGCCCTTTCCAGATCATGTTTGTAATGCTACATAGCCCAGGGTTTCTCTGTTATTTTGCTTCCCCCACCAGCACCACCACTAACTGATATATTTGATCATGGAACTGTGTCTTGACAAAGTGAGAAATTACTGAACTTGCTCCAGCATGGTTTTTGGATGTGGAAATACCTAATTTATATTTCTGTGTCTCGGTGTTTGCCAGACCGATGCTCTGCATGTCCAGCCCTGCTCTTTTCATCCTGCAGTTCACTGCAGGATGAAGAACCTGCTCCCCAGATGGACTGCTGTACTTTTCTGGTCAAAGCAAATGTGTAACAGTGTCTCTGTAGCCCCTGGCAGCCCTTGCTCCATGCTTGTTGAGGAGAAGTGTGTACAGAGTGGTGGCTTTGAAGGCAGGCCAGGAAGGCATCGGTTCATTGATGCAGCTCTGGAGGCTCAGCACACTGTTTATTGGGTGCTGGGGGCTGAGGCTCCTGCTGCGGTTCAGGGACAGCAGCCCCTGAAGGTGCAACAGCCCCTGAAAGTGCAGCAGCCACGGTGCAGCTTGTTTACCAATCGGGGCTCGATTGCTTCACTGTGAGTGCAGGGCTCTGTTCCTCCTGGTATTAAGTCCAATTATATGATCTTTGTCTGAAGAGGGGTGTGAGATTCATTTTCAGCAAGCAATAATCTTCTTAGTGGGCTGTAAATTGCAAATAATGATTCCTTCCTATTTTTGGAAGTGATTTGCACCATCAACAGTTTATTCTGTGAAGACCTGAATGAGGCAGGCTGGGAGAGCAGTGTTTATTGGACTGGGTTCTTGTTGCTGAAGTTGCATGCACTATTTCAGGGCTCTCCCTTTGCCCTTCCTCAGGGCTTGTAAATCCAGTCTCCATTTGAATCTTTTCTTTCTCTTTCAGGACAATTATTCTGAGTGACGGACCTTGCATGCACTTCTGATTGGTTATCATGGGCTTCATTGCCTTTCTGAAGACTCAGTTCATAGTTCACCTCCTCATTGGGTTTGTCTTTGTTGTGAGTGGACTGATCATTAACTTCATTCAACTATGCACGCTAGCCCTCTGGCCCGTAAACAAGCAGTTCTATCGCCGAGTAAACTGTCGCCTCGCCTATTCACTTTGGAGCCGTGAGTATGCTTGAAGGGGATGGGAAGGCTGGGGGTGGGGAGGGGAGTGGGGTTTGTTTCTCTTTTTGTTAATTAAAGAAAAAATTATACACGCATATATGTATATGCATACAAACACATGAGAGACAGAAGTGATAAGTTAGACATAGACTCTTTCAGAGCAGTTCAAGGCAACCATCTTTTGTGAAATATTGGGAAAACATACAAAAGCCAAGGGACTGATACATATTGTCACTGTTGTTCAAAAAAGTGGGAAGTAACTCTCTTCCCCACCCCCAACCCTATCTCAACTGGTAGGAATTGCTGATTCTCTCTCAATACCACCTTAGTCCAGTATCAGAGCCTGTGCTTAAGTGATGGGGAAGGAGGAATTCACAGAGACTGCTTCAGGTATTAAGCATACATGCAATGTTGACCACTTAGGAGCCCAAGTGGGCTCCTGTGTGTTCTGCAGAGAGTCTTAAAGTATATAGTGTAGATGACTCTGTAGCTGAGCTGTGTGGCAACTTCAGAGTCCTCTTGCACCCTACAGTTCCCATCTGTGATGCCAGTGTCTCCTCTTGTGAGCAGTTTGTCACTCTGTTCTTCTTCTGCCTGTGGGACAGCTCTACAGTGAGTGCAGCTGCTTTGCTCTCTTCTTTCAGACCTTTGCAAAACTTCCTCCCTGTGGATGGCTTTTTTTTTTTTTCTTCTCCTACAGCTTTCTGAAATTAATGTTTAGAAGGCCTTAGTCCAAATGTCACCTCCTGTTTCAGCAGTGAATCATCTAATTTGTTTCCATTCTCCATCCCCTCCCAGTAAGCAAGTCCACTTACCTTAGTGCTCAGCTCAGCATCCAACTCCCACTTTGGGTAAATGAGTCACGTAAATGAGTACTTAAATTACAGTTGAGTGGTCCACTGACAGGCACCCACATTTCTGAAATCATTGATGTCAAGTACTACCAACAAAAACTCTCCAAAGTATCTAGTTCGGTTTCTTTTAAAGCTTGTTGTCCTTGTCCTTCCTGTGCTTTGCATGCTATCTATTGAGAATGCTGTGTGAGAAGCACAGAAGAAAGGAAATGAAATAGAAAGTGGCAGGCAAACTGTCAGGAAAAAAAGGTATTGTAATGGAGGAACTTACAGGTAGAAACTTCAAAATTAGCTTGGTTGGAGGGGAGTGGGGGGTATATGGGATTATTTTTTTTTTTTAATTTGCTTGTAAGAATTTGTTAATATGCTTTTAATAATCTAGAATCTGATCTCATCTTGAAAACTATTGTTTCACTAATAGCCAGTTTTTCTGAGGATATGAGCTGCTTGTGCCTGTAAGGCTTGTAGATTCAGACCCTTGATTTTTGCAAGTTAGCATTATGCATCCAAAAAATCACATTTTAAGTGCTGTTATCTTATATCTCGTGTTCACTGGAAATAACCTACACTATTGTTCAAAAAGGTTTGGAGAAGCTGAGTAGGTAATTGGATTGTATCTAGGATAACCCCTCGTGTATAGCCTGTTACAAATGAAATTATTGAGAAATTAAACTGTTAAAATTAATGTCAGTGTTACATGGGACTGCAGAGTGTTGATGGCCTGTGATGGAAGAGCTGACAGAATGCGCGCTTCAGTTGGGATTTATAACGAATTAAGTAAGCTGTGTAAATGCAGCAGTTCAAATGTTGCCATTCATAATGAAATACATTTCATTACATGGAAGCCTTTTGGCAATGAACCTGTAGGTTGGTGTTCTGTTCTGGATGCTACCTGTTTGCTTACTTACTCTAAGCTGTTTAGTTTTAGGCTGAGGGTGTTTGTGTCAGAGTTGTTTGTAACAGAAGCTGGTCTGCCCATCCAGCAGAGGATGGGAGTGGAGGGTTAGGTACACAGGTGATCATGTATCTGCCTATGTACTCTAGCCCTCTGCAAACCAGGCTCTATTCTTACTGTGTCTCTTCTCAAATACATGAAGCACAGCCTCCGAAGGGGAAGGAGATAGACTCTAGCCAGTGCTCATGGCAGATGTTTGGGGAGAAAAACATCTGTTGGGCTCTGGTCTCAATGTAAACGCTTTGCAGCACATGTGATTCATGACGGGTAGTCTGTACTTCAAGCTCTCCTACATCAGCTCCTTTCAGATGACTCATGCCTTTGGAGAGCGCAGAGCATTTGGTTTAGTCTGGTTGCAAAAATAATCTCTCAAATGTCAGTACTTTAAACTGAGAGGTGAGCTGTGCCTCTTATTTGCTTTGTTTCCGAGTTGCTTGTGAGGCCATAAACCTGCCTGCTTTGGTGTGTGGGATCCCTGGCTGCAGGAGGGACTTTGTTGTAGCGAGGTGTTGGTTGTCCTCTACAAGAAGTATCCCCAGCAGCACAAGCGTTATCATCCCTTCATTCAGAAGGATGGACTTGCTGTCGCATCGGCAGGATCAGTGCCATGCAAAATAGCTGTAACCCACACACCAAAAGAAAAGGAAATGAGCCCACTCCCGGTTATAGTTCCATCATTTATCAGTACGCTTGTAAAGGACAATCTGTTTCCTTGTATTAATTCTCCGGCTCATTGACCCTGCTGTCTCAGTATGAACTGTGGCAAATCTCTCAGCAAAGCTTCCTCCACTCTTTTGGAGTGAAAGGTACGAGAAATGCTCTGCAGAAAATCATCCACACCTGCCTGTGCAGAATTTTGTTCTGGTTTTGAAAAAGGAATATACCCCCTTTATTTTATTTTTTATAAGAAAACGCAGCAGCTGTAGCGGGTACTGGAGATGTTCCTCCTTTGTACACAGACAGCAATGGAAAGGGAAGACCACTCACATTACCACACTCTGTTTGGTACCATTACTCCATTCTCCTGCCTACCTGCTTGGAAGAGCATAGCTCTCAACTGAGGACACTTTTGTTATCCTCTTTCCCCTTTTGCTAAGCCAGGATAACCAGAGCAAGAAAGGTAAGTGATCACATCATTTACAAAGGAGACAGAGCTGGAAAGCAATGATAGAAACCTCTAGTTGGTGTAAACTATTATGCTGTCTTTCCTCTACTGTGTTTCCAGTTTACTGGTGTTACACTGTCTTGATCAGCAAGTTACTTAAGTTTGTCATGCCTCCAAATGAATGAGTCTTGAAAATGATACAGGGGAATAACTTGGTGGATAAGTGGTCACATGGGGAATATAAGTGAAAAAACTACTGCTAGAGAAACTATGTATCTTCAGCAGGCCAGGACTGATTTTCCCTATCATTCACCCAAATACTGGGTTAGCCTTCTCTCTGATGCATTCCAAAATTGGAGCCACTCTTATTTAGCAGTATAGATAGATTACCCTGTTGTGATCCCACTGATCAGGAACCCTTGTGCAGGAAGGTGCTGCTCCATTTTGCAAAACCAGGGCCTCGATGGAAAGCTGAAATACTGTGTGGCAGAGCCTAATGTAGAGAACTGAGGGGGTGCCTTCCAGTTTTGACCCTGCATGTTTGTTGTAGTAATGTTGGAAGAGTTGGACTTTTTAACTGCCATATTTGTGTAACCAAATTTTGATTGCATCCATATCTCATTGAAATGAGAAAATAGCAATGACTCCAGTTTGCATGGAAGCAAATTTTCCTATTGGGAGAATGAACTATTCTTGTACTTTTTATAGTTGTCCCACGATAGAAGCAATGCGTTCCATCTGCCTGATTGTACTGAAATTGGAGAAATAGGCTAACCATAGCAACTGCATTCAGTGCATGCTGAATTTAAGTGGAAGGGTCTTTTAAAGATTAAAAAAAGGGGAGGTGGAAAACAAGAACAGTGGGTAACAAAGGGAATTTTCAGGGTGGAGTAAGAGAGACACTGGGATATTGAAAAGCTGGAGAAGACAGAGGAGAAAGGGCTCATTCTTTCTTTTGTGGTAAAAGAAAGGCATAATTTAGCATTCTGGCTTTGTCCAGGTATTTTGATAAATTAGCTCAATTCTCTGATGCTTCTGACTCTGTGTTGATGACCATAATACAGAACAATTAGAGTGCTGTGTTCTAATATTAAAATCTGTTGCAGAAGATTTATAGTACTGTATCCCTTTAAAAACCCTTTATTGGTCTGTTTACCTCCATAAAGCTTGTTTCATGTTGAGTAAAAGCATTAGGCTGCATCTATGCATTATTTGTATTCCACCTGGGAGAAAATGTACTCATTTAGTGGGGCAATTGACGGCTCAACTGTCTATTTTCAGGCACAAAATTTGGGGTTTTTTTTCCAATGATCATGAAATTTCACATTCGTATTATAATGTCCAAACTTGTCACTGTTAAAAACTTGTTAAATTATCCATAATGCATACATCTAGTGCCCTAAATCACTTTAAGGATGGTGATGTTATTTGGTCTATCCCCATCTAAGCTCTCATTTAATCTCTACTGGGTTGGATTACAAAGGTTGTTGGGAAGGGTGTTGTTGGGAGTCGGAAGAGACTAGGCACTGAATGGAGCTGGAGATGACATGCAAAATGCTTTCTGTAAGCAGCACCCCTAACTCCTCTCCCCATCTTCACATGTTTGTCAGAGTTGGTAATGCTGCTGGAATGGTGGTCAGGCACAGAGTGCACTTTGTTCTCAGACGAGGCCACGGTGAACACCTTTGGGAAAGAACATGTCATCATCATCTTGAATCACAACTTTGAAATCGACTTCTTGTGCGGCTGGACTATGACAGAGCGCTTCGGAGTGCTGGGGGTATGTGGGGCCGTGAGCTTTCCCTTCTTCTGGAGGACTATAGGTCTCTTTAAAACCCATGCACGTACAGTTTCTTTGCATTTGAGTTTCCAGATGTAACTCCATCAACTCTTTATCATTTTAACTTTAAAATCTTTGTTTATCTCATTGTACAAATCAATAAATGACACTTTCGGATTGCTATTTTTGTTTTTCTATTTTTTTTTTTCTCCAAGAGTTCCAAAGTTCTCGCTAAGAGAGAGCTGCTATATGTGCCCCTAATTGGCTGGACGTGGTACTTCCTTGAGATTGTTTTCTGCAAAAGGAAATGGGAAGAAGACAGAGATACGGTTATTGAAGGATTAAAACGTTTGGCTGATTATCCTGAATATATGTGGGTAAGTGTCAAGTTTCTCCTCTAGTATTGACTGCTAGAAGTGAAGTGGTGATGGAGATACTCATGTGCTACTGCAGTCTTATATATTAGGAGAAGGTCTGCTCACTGCTGTCTTCAAGTGTTGTCAAGGAAAACCTGTGCTCTCTTCCAGGAGGTCTTTTGGGATATGCTGGTAAAACGTTGCTCTGTTTGCCTACTGGTAAGGGAAGTCATTTTTGAAACGGTTCAGAAGCTTGCACAGATGATGAGAAGCTTGATGATAATTTATAAATCAGACTTTTGTCATACTTGTTAATTTTGACTGGACTTATTTTTACCTTTTAAAAAAAGAATAACAGCCCATATTTTACTACTAAATCTATATAACCTTAAGCTACATTTTCTGAGGTAGGCTAAAATGACACAAACAAAAAAATCTTTTCTGGAGAAGTGAGTTGATTTGGGTAGGGGGGGATTCATAGACGATGGACTTTGACAGGAAGTTCTTGTTAGTATGTTCATTGATCTGTGAAATGACAGTTTTCCCAAAAAGTCTCCATGAGAACATATGGCAAGCTTACATCTGCTTTTGCAGTTATGCTTTTGCTTTTTATTTTTACATTATTTGAAATCAAGGGTGAAACTTCTATGTTTCATTATGTGCAATGTTGTTAGGTTTTACTGCAGCAACACAGTGGTATAATCAACCTATTAGCCTTCTTTTATCCAAATGTTTGCATTTGCTAGTTTGCTTTTATAGCAGCACATGTAATGTACAGTTATTTGACTCTTAAAACATTTTAAGGGGCTTTTTGTGCATTTTAAGTGATTTTTCAATATTATCCGGTACAGCTTATTAAAATGAATAGTGAAATAATAAGCTTTAACTAGTACATTATGAATGCATCATTTGTGACTTTCTATCTTTACAAAGATAGAAAAAATAAGAATCTGGAAAATGTATTTTAAACTACTTAATTGCTTGAATATATGGATATGAACTACATTTAATATATCCTCCTGATTGGTCTTGGGAAAAAAAGAAAAAACCCTACCAATTAAAAAATCTTAAGACTATACTTTAATTGCAAATCTATACATTTTAATGATCCTACAATTGAGAACCAAGGATTAGTCTCTAGGGAAAACAACTAGAAAATATAAATGCAAAACGTAGTTAGCATTGATTATTTAAATCAAGACTTCCTGCTTGGTAATTTAAATCATGATTAAAATTGACTTGAGTAAATCAGTTTCCTAATTTTTGTGCATTCTAAATGCCACAATTAGGGCTGTCTGTGCAGCCTTCCTTCGTGAGGTCTTTCTCACACGTGCACTGCAGCGCAGTCTGTACCTCGCTTGTGTACTTGGTCCACAAGGGTCACTGTGCTGTTGAGTAGAAGAGGGTGAGAATTTGGTATAGAGGAAGGAGCTTGTATTGCAGCCAGGGGTTGAGATTGCAGTGTTACACTCTGTACCTTGTGCTGTCCTCGCCACTTGGTGGTGGGTGATGGCTGGTCAGTTTTTCATAATGAACTTTTTATTCCTCCTAAGCCTCTTAAAATGTTTTATGAGTCAAATAACTGTGCATTACATGCGCTGCTATAAAAGCAAACCAGTAAATTTAGCTTTGAATGCAAACGTTTTGATGAAAGAAGGTTAATAGGTTGATTATACCACTGTGTTGCTGCAGTAAAACCTAACAACATTGCACATAATGAAACATAGATGTTTCACCCTTGACTTCAAATAATGTCAAAATAAAAAGCAAAAGGGCCCTCAAGGGCCAAATGAAGACTGCAGGGCCAGCTCCCTTCTCTCACTGCACCCTGACAGGTCTAACTCTCATGTCTGTGGCTTTGTGGTTTTAACATTGATTTAACTTACCTTTTGTAGTGCACAGTGTGTGGATACGCTACAGAAGAAAAGTCAAGCAACCACAGTACTGGCAAACAGCAGATGTATAGTGATGCATTCAACAAGTCTTTTGAATTGCAGTGTTACAGCATTGCATGGTACTGATGTAAGAGAGTGGTAGCAACCTGCCTTTCTCCCACTCCATTGCTTGCCAGGGATGCAGAGGTTTGTCCGTTCAAATGCAGCAATGTTTTCTATTGCTGGCACAACGGGAATGATGTCCACCTTTCAAAAAGGACAGGGAAATCCACCCGAGGGCTCTCAGAAGGGCTTTGTTTGTCTGCTGTTGGCTTTGTATTGAATCATAGAATGGTTTGGGTTGGAAGGGACCTTAAAGATCATCTAGTTCCAACCCCCCTGCCATCAGCAGGGACACCTTCCACTAGACCACGTTGCTCAAAGCCTCATCCAGCCTGGCCTTAAACACTTCCAGGGAGGGGGCATCCACAACTTCCTTGGGCAACCTGTTCCAGTGTCTGACCACCCTCACAGTGAAGAAAAAGGTTGCTTCTAGTCTGTCCCTCAGCTAGAAGAGAGGCAATGTAGAAGCTGAAGAACTGACCAGTATTTTGTGCTGCTTGAAGTCAGTATGGGAGGGTTTAAGACTTTAATAATTATTTAGGATGCCACAGTCAGATTGGTGGTGACTTACAAGATGAAGAAGGTAAAGGTTTTAGGGAAAGGCACGATTTTTTTATTAATACAACTGATACAAATGCAAAAAAAAAAAAAAAAAAACCAACCAGAAAAGCTTTCAGACAAACAACTCTGTCTTCAGATGAGTAATTCTGGTTGTACAGTACAAATTTTAATGAGGTAGCTAGTGATTAATATGTTTTTTCCTAAAGGGGTCGTGTACTGATATTAGTCCATCACCAGCCAGCCAAAGCCCTCAGGGATTTTCCTTTTTTTAAGTAAATATTTCTTGTATAACTGCTTAGACTTTTTGTTGCCTTAAAGTTTGTACCAGTGTTGTTAAAACTAAATGTAATTGTAAATGAGTTGTGAGGTGGTGCTTACGCCTAATACTTGAGGATCAGATGAGATAATTGAAGCGTGTGTGCATGCACGGTTGTATGTTTGTCTTACACACGTTTTCAGTATTCTGCTTGCTTTCTTCTGATCTCAAGATATCCTTGTGTTTGCCTTTTGTCTCATTGTACTAGTTTCTCCTGTACTGTGAAGGAACTCGTTTTACAGAGACCAAGCATCGTATCAGTATGGAGGTAGCTGAATCCAAGGGGTTGCCTAAACTGAAATACCACCTGTTGCCCAGAACCAAAGGTTTCACCACTGCTGTCCAGTGTCTCAGGGGAACAGGTACTGGCAAGCTGCTACTTTTTCTCTGCATTAATTGTAGTGTGATGTAATTGTAATGTGTTGTTTAGTATGCTCTGTGTAGCAGAGTATAATATACTGCATTGCTCATTACGTCCATTCCGTACGTCCATTACGACGTAACAAATTAGTGAGTTGGCATTAATAAGCAGTCAACATGTCAGCTGTTAATTTGTGCCACATAACTCTCAGATACCAGTCTTAAAAAATAATAAACCTTTCATATATGTCATTGTTGCTTAGTTCATCAAGTTGTCTTGTGTTTTGATTAACACAAGTGCTACGTGGTTGGGAATGTCGGGTGGCTGATACAGATCCATACAACTAAAGACAAAGTAGTGAAGGACTCTGCTACCTGACATCATTAATGCAAGTCTTGCACAAGGCCCTGTTACCCTCTAATGCAAGGATACTGGCAACGTGGTTGCTAGAATTGCTGATATAACAGCTATATTTTCTTTTTTGTAACAGTTTCAGCAGTGTATGATGTAACACTAAATTTCAGAGGAAACAAGAACCCGTCTTTATTAGGAATTCTTTATGGAAAGAAATATGAAGCAGATATGTGTGTAAGGTGAGCGTGTAATGATGGAGGTGAGCCCTAAGATGCATGCTTTAGCACATTGAAGTGTATTCAGATTTTACAGGGTAATGTTCTTTGCTGTAGTCCCCTTTTCCTTGTCCTTCTAGCTTCTCTGCAGGCTACAAAAACCTCCCCATTTCCCCTCTGCTTTAGTTTGCTTCCATGTGTGAGATCCCATGATATCACCCAGCAAGTCAGAGAGCACTGGGCAGACTTTTTGAGCCTGGGTCTGACCACATTATCATTACAGGGTTTCCCCAAGTTTTGTGCAGTCAGAGCACTAGTCCACATTTTTCCTTTCTCTGCTGAGAACAGAAAACCAACTGTTCTGCCCCATTCCCAGTCCCCTGCGAGCATATGCATAGTATAAATAGCCTGTCCAACATGAGTAGTCTCTTGTGCAAAGCTCCTTACTGTGCCGGTTTCTCTCCTTCTCTCACATGGTTTGATTAGCAGATTACAAGTTAAATAATACTGAAATTCAGACATTATATGAATGAGGTGGTACATTCCTCACATTCCTTGTTACTCTTTTGTCTGAAAGAGTAACTGCTAACACCTAACTCTGTGCAACATGTACACATGTGCATGCATGCACACACATGCTTTCTCTTTCTTGCTTTCTCTTTGTTACTTTCCTGCTTTGAAGGCTTCCTTGTGATAATAAAAACTACCAATCCTTTCCTGTTGATTTTCTTCTTTTCCCTTTTACGTTTGCACCTCACAAACGACCTGGCGGTTCTTCCACAGTTGTTCTGCTTCTCTGGGGACTTCACCCACAGTTTGGAAAACATTGCTACATTCTGGTGATGAGGTTGATCCTTGATTTTTAAAAGGAGGAAAGAAAAAAAAAACCAAAACCCAAAACCCCAAAAAACCTTGCTACTTCTCCCCACACCTTTCCCCTCTGGCCATGGGTCTGTGAGTTGGAGAGGCATGGCACTGGCTCTATATGTTGTCCTTCTACAAGACAGGTGTGTCTTGCCAGAGCTTCCAAGGGTGAAAGACTTTGTAGGGAATCACACTGATTATCCATTGGGTCAAGGTATAGCAGCAAGAGTTTTGTGGAAGAAATGCTATCCCAGGGGAGGCAGAGTGCTGCAGCCCTAATGGGGAAGGGAAGGACACGTGTTCCAGTTTTGTTCTCAGATACTGCAGCTTCCACAACATTTTAGTCTTTCAGTTGGAAAGAAAGCTGTGGAGGTGATGGGGAGAGAGATGGGGTTGCGCATTTGTGAAGGGTTTAATTTTGACTATTTACACTTGCCAGACATACTCCTGATGAGTTAAGTGAGCAGACAGTTTACCAGGCAGCAAAACAGCTGGTCAGGCAGTTGCCACCTGTAATTCCATACTGATGGCAGATGCATGTAACATGTCTAGCTAGATCTGGGGTACACATGCATGGATGTACATCTCTCTAATTGCACATTGAAGATCAACTGCATTCATTTAAATATCATATAGCTTGCTCATGGAGATGCAAATTCATTTTATTTATTGGCGAGGTACTGGGAGGAAAGAAGAGAAATGTAGTTTTCAATAGTTGTCAGAAGAAGTTTGGGTTCATAAAATTCTGTTGAGGGTGGTGTGACCAGGTAAAATTACTAATTGTACCTTATTAAGGAAACTAATGACTGTGTTGAGGTAATCTTGATTTTATGTTTGTGGACTTTTCTACACTTGAAGCTTTTTCTCTGTTTTGGAGAGGAAGGTGTGAGAATAAGGAAACTATTTTTACAGTGTTTTTGCTAGAAATTGAACATGTCCTTAATGTGCCAGCAGACTTAGCTTAGCTCAGAGCAAGGAAGCTCATAAGCTCTTGTTCTTGGTGTGTGCGTGTACAGTTACCTGTGCAGAGGTAAGAAGCTTAGCTCTGCAGAGGATCCAGTCTTTCTCCTGACTCACTCCAGAGAAAATAATCAGCTAAATGACCAAATGTTATTGCTGTGAGTACCCTCTAGTGGTAAGAACAATACAGTGACAACTTCAGCAGAGAGCTTTCAGGAAATGACTTCTTACTGAGCTTTTATTGAGCATTATTTCTATTAATTGGGCAACCCTTCCTGTTCGAGCTACTGAAAGTAAATCTGTAAAATCTGATGTTCAATTTGTTTATAGGATGCAGAAATTATTATAAATGTATTAGAGTATTTTCCTTCTGCTGCTGCAGACTCAAAGGCTTTAGTTCAAACTGCAGAAATAGATTCCCCAGTTGAACAGCAGCAAATAAGTTGTGTCCGAGATCACTGTGTCTAGAGTCCTCCCAGATGTCACCCTTCTGTTCTTACTGCCCTGCTGTAAGAGGGCCCTGATACAGTCTAAGTGTTGCCAAAATACGTTCAGGCTGAGGGTAAGATGTATGCCTGCCCTCTACAAACCTAGCAACTTCTTTCTGAATTGATCCAGGACTGAGATGTGTGCCACTGAGAAAGGAGACGATACATTTGTGAGTGTGTTAGTGGCCTGTCTTGGAAAATACAAGCATACAGGAAAATGGTTGGCTCTTCACCACTAGAAAGAGGCTCTTAAAAGGTGCCTGTTCTCGGTGAGGTCAGGTCAGTACCTGGAGGGGGCATAATTTTTGTGTGCACCTAGAACTACATGCCTCGATCTGTAGGGCTGGAGTGGTAAGAGAGAGAGAAGTGGAGAGTGGAGAGAGAAGTGCAGTCACTGTAAAAGATGATGAATTGGTATGAAATGAATTTTTAACCACCCCTCCCATTCCTTCCCGAATGGGATTTTCACTAACAAAATGTAACAAACAATTACCCTGGAGTTTGCCACTTGCTTGTCATTCCCCAGCTCTGGGTGCCTCAGTCTGAGCTGAACTCACTGGGAATCAACCAGTGGTGGTTCTGGAGAAGGAAGAACAGTGTTTGAATGGGAAAATGCTTCTTTTACTTTTTTTTTTTTCTTCTCTGAAATTGATAGGAGCTTGTACAGTTTCTTTTGTTTTAGGAATCTGAGTTTTAGGTGGAGAATCAGATGTTAAATATTTAAGTCCCAGTTCTTCTCTGCATTTAAGATCTCTGCCATCAGAGACAGTATTATGTGTAGCTTATGCCCTTCATTGAATGGAAGATCTTCCCTAGTAGAGGTCTAAAGTCAAATACCTGCATTTTCCTTTAACTCTTTTTTTTTTTTCTTTCCTTTTTTAATCTCTCTACTAAACTAGGAGATTTCCTCTGGAAGATATCCCTCAAGATGAAAAGGAAGCTGCAAACTGGCTTCATAAGCTTTACCAGGAAAAGGTAAACAGCTTTGCTTTCTTTTCTCTCTTTTGGGACTTTCACAAGGGGTAGTGTATTAAGGCACTGAGTAATGCACACTCTTCCACTGGAGGGCAAGAAGAGATGGAAATATAATGTATAATTTGGCAGCCATCCCTCAAGAGCAGTACAGAAGAGCCCCTTGGCTGCAGAGGGATGGCTAGTGAGTAGGTCTCAAATTGCTGGGAAGCACAACGGGGTTCAGAGGTATGCCTGAGTTGCAGAAGACTACTGGCAATCCACCATCTTTCTGTCTTCTTCAGTTCTTGGATCTCTGTCATACATTTCTAAAAGCTCCATTTTCCTCACGGGTGTTTTTAGGCACTTGAGAAGAGCGATAACTGTATGTCAGGGACAGCCTGTCCCAGCTCTTCGCTGCAATTGTCCTTTGCCTTCATGTTACTGTCACTTTCCTTCTGCCTCCTGGTAATACCTCTGCCGTGGCATGTGACATGGTACAGACAGTACCATGAGGATTTGCTGCCAGGGACTGATGTAGCACGTGGCCAGCATGCTTTCAAACAGCTCAAAGCTTAAAGCTTTTCCTCCTGTCTTTTGTGGTTTTGGTTTTTTTGTTGTTTGTTTTGGTTTTTTGTTTGTTTTGTTTTGTTTTTGGGGTTTTTTTTGTTGTTTTTTTTTACTTTAGATGGTAAATTTCTGGACCACAGATTTAACAGTTCTGTGGGGAGGAGGAGAGAACTGTAATTAATATTGCCCAGCATTGATTGGTGGATTGTTAAACTTGAAATTTGTATCTTGATTTTTCTGTTGCTTATCTTTGTGGGAAAACAGAGGAGCACAGAAACTTTAACTATTTTGGGCTTTCTTCTGCGATGATGACCTGTGCTGCTACATTTCCAAGTTTAGGCTTAGCCTGTAGGTAGGCAGCAGATTGTTCTGAGTTTTATTTTGGTAATTTTGACCTAATTTGTTTGAGTATCTAAGCTTTAATTCAATTAAGAGGAGAGAATTTATCTTACAAAGATCATAATCTTCTCCTCTCACCTCCCATTAGCAGGTATATCAAACTAGCTTTTGGATCAGTTAGTGTAATACGAGATTAGAGAATTTTTAAAAAAACATTAAAAAATCCTTGAATCCTGCCTCCTTTTATCGGAGACATGCCATCATGTAATTCCCTTGGGAAGGAATTACCATGTGGCTGGTGAAGCAGACATTAAAGTGTATGTTACAGTGGTGGCCTTTCTCTGCTTGGCTCCTGCTTTGTTACAGAACTAAGCAGATTCAGCACAGAGCGCTTGCTCTGCCTGGTGCCTGTTCCTTGGGCAGAATGCTCTGCTTTGCTTGGGGATAGCGGGCTTGGTGTTCCTCCCCAGTGTTGGCTGTACCTCCATTCAACTTAGGTGTGAGGTGTTGTCAGGGAGGTATTACCTATATATGTGAATATTTTATATATTGATCTTATGGTGGTAGCAGTATGTTGTAACTGGAATCCTTGAAATGCTTTTCCTGTACAGGGGGTGTGTCCTCAAAAGGCCGTGTTATTGGCAAGGGACGCCTTGCGCTTCTCAACTTTTTGTAAGGGAAGCTTAAAAAAAAACCCAACAAAAAAACAGCTTAAGTGGGAAAAATAAGACATAGCCAAACTTGAGCCATCCTTGGTTATGACTTGGAAATCTTCCAGGACATTCTTACAAACTGAGGGGAGACTGTGGGCATGCTGCTCCTTTGAGTGATGTGTTTCATGACTGCATCTCTGCAGGCTCAGCTCAGGGTGCAACTGTTCTGTTGAAGTCTTGGGGTTATGACTAGCACAGTGCTGTCTCTGCTGGTTAGCTTCTTGCTTTGCCTTCCTCTTCCGGTTGTATATACAGCATTTTTCTGATGTGTTTTGCTAAATCATGCTGACCTTTCTGGAAGTAAAAACAGGAAGAAAAAGCATCCAACAAAGAGGCAGATAGTGTCTGAATTGACCTCTGGCCTGATGGTACTCTAAATTTCTAAGCAATTATAGAATCATAGAAGGGTTTGGGTTGGAAGGGACCTTAAAGACCATCTAGTTCCAACCCCCCTGCCATCAGCAGGGACACCTTCCACTGGACCAGGTTGCTCAAAGCCTCATCCAGCCTGGCCTTAAACACTTCCAGGGAGGGGGCACCCACAGCTTCTCTGGGCAACCTGTTCCAGTGTCTGACCACCCTCACAGTGAAGAATTTCTTCCTAATATCTAATCTAAACCTACCCTCTTTCAGCTTAAACCCATTTCCCCTTGTTTTGTCATTAACTGCCCTTATGAAAAGTCCTTCCCCAGCTTTCTTGTAGCCCCTTCAGGTGCTGGAAGGCCACTATAAGATCTCCCCGGAGCTTTCTCTTTTCCAGGCTGAACAGCCCCAACTCTCTCAGCCTGTCCTCATAGGAGAGGTGCTCCAGCCCTCAGATCATCCTGGTGGCCCTTTTCTGGACTTGTTCTAGCTGCTCCATGTATTGAGAGAAGAGATGAAGGTATTTGGTAGTGGAGAGGCTGATATGGCTTCAGTTTCTGATGGTGGCCAAGATTGCCTTCAAAGGGCTAGTAATGTAGGCCCGGTGTCAACAAACGCCCAGTAGCAGGTTGAAGTGGATGCTGTGTACTCTTGATGGGTATTTACCACAGATACTGACCTTGATGTTGTCCTGGAGTTGACTAGTCTTGGATTGCTTGATGCAAACATTATGAACATGTTTTCTTCTGTCTTCTCTTTCTCCTAGGATGCTTTGCAAGAGATGTATAATCAGGAAGGCGTATTTCCTGGCCAGCAGTTTAAACCTCGTAGGAGACCATGGACTCTCCTAAACTTTCTTTTTTGGGCCACAGTTCTCCTGTCTCCTCTCTTCACATTTGGCTTTGGAGTTTTTGCAAGTGGATCACCTCTCCTTATCCTTGCATTCCTGGGACTTGTTGGTGCAGGTAATAAAAGCAGAGAAGATGCTAAGCCCAGAGTGACATGTTATAGGATCCGTTACCTCCAATAAATTCTGTGTATTAATCAGTATGAGGGGGGCTTGCAGAAGAGTACTTGGAGCTCACTCTGTAGTCTTTATATTGTATAGCATTTTTATTATTTCAAAAGCTTTAATCCAGGCAGGCTTGCCTTCATATCTTAGGCAATATCTACAGCAATCGATAGAAAGTGAGTCTTGTAGCCTGTTATTATGGTGCCTGAAGGAGAAAATACTTTTACTGCGCACCTTCTCTGTGAATTAAAAACAAAACAAAGGGGGGAAAAAAAAAACCCACAAAAAAACAAACACCAGAAAAACCCAAATGGGGACGGGGAATGCTTCAGTGTGCATATTACCTGTCCTGTTAATCAACACGTAGCTTTAATTATATTTTTAAATCTGGATTGTCCTACTCTTTTAGTAACATCTGACGTGTGATCCATGTGCAGCCTCATACAGTGAGTGCACTGCTGGTCTGTAGTCACTACTGTTTTCAGGATTGGGTTAACTCATGTTGGTTCTGCCTGTGTGTTTATATGTACCTCTCTAAATCCTTGAACTGTTTTTAATGTGCCTTCCATTTCTCTGTTATATTTTAAAGCTTCCTTTGGAGTTCGTAGACTGATAGGAGTAACTGAAATAGAAAAAGGCTCCAGCTATGGCAACCAAGAATTCAAGAAAAAGGAATAACTGACAGCTGCAGTTCAGCACATATAACCAGACTATGGTATCCGATTAACTTCAGTTAAAAAACAACAACAAACACTTAGAAACTATCTTTTTCTTAATAACTGATGACTAATATTAATGAATAAAACTTGAGCCAAGAATGAAGAAGTTGGAGGCATCAACTGAAGAGAATGCATCAATTTTCTGCCTGTTTAAGGATTACTGTAGTCAAACTATGGGAGAAAATCTGGGATGGAGTAGAAGAAGAAACTAATTTTTCTTGCTTTGTTGGGGGACTTGGGGGTGGGGGGAGAACAGAGGGCATTGGCCATGGCCACGTGCATCTTCAGATGACTGAATACACTGGTTTCTGTCAAGAGCACTACACTCACCTTTACAACAGGAGCCATTGAATGTTTCCTCTTGCTAAAGCCAATGTAATGTTTGTTGATTTCCAACATTTTTTATTAATAAGCCAGGAAAAAACAATCCTCCGTAATTTAATTGACAGATGTTCATTGGGTTAGAGTCATTTTGGAAAGGCTGTGTTGTCATGGCTACAGATGAAATCCTATTTGTATGTTACACTTTTATTTTCAGGCAATGTCTTAAAACTTCTGTAATGCAAGAGAAAGGATAGTGGAGTTTGGAAGCAGCGCGTTACTGATCAGCACATACCATAGAACAGATCTACTAGTATTAAAGCAGTATAAAATTCTCACCATATCTCTGCTAACTGCTCAAGGCTGTTTAATTTCAAAATATTACTTCAGTCCTAAGTGTTGTTTGCCCTGTTTCACATCATGCGGGTATGATAATCTTGAATCTGTTTGGGCTTGTTTTATTTTCTGAAATTAATGCTGACTGTGGGATTTGGAGTTAGGCAAAGAAGGAAATTTATTCAACTGTTTTGACATTTTCTCCTATTTCTGTTCATGTCTCTCATCACCAAAGTCCATTTCAGCCAACCTCTCTCAGTAAACTGTGAGGCAGCAGCAGAAACCAGCACAATAGTTTTCAAAATGTCACCTTTTACAAGAATTTGAAAAAGAGAGGTCTGTAGCAATCAGATTTTGAATACTGGCATCTCCTGAACTTTTAATGATAGTTTTGACATTGATTCAGATGGGGCCAGGATCTTACCCTGTGTGTTCTAATGATAGGGTGTGCTGCACTTTCTACTCAGTCGTGCTTTAGATGTTAATGTGAAGTATATTGCAAGATGAGCTGTGCTGTTAAGCATTAGAAAGAGTATGGGGTCTCTTCAGGGATTTTAAATATCCTTAGTTTTGCTTGCTGACCTTTGGGGTTTTTTTTCACTAAAAATTAGAAATCAGAATCATGGCTGTACTTGTCTTTTTTTCTTTTTTACGAATGCACATTCTGAGGCTTTTGCAGATTGCTACTGTATGCATAGCTGGAGAATTATTTGCAAACAGATGGGAACTACCTGTATGCTCAAGTCCGAAGGCCACAATCTGCATTTGGCTACGCTCAGAAGTTGGTGAAGTAGGTTGCAGATCTACAGCTGAGGGCAGAAGCTGACCCTCAGGGTCTGTGTTTTTAACCCAGCTGCCACTAGAATATTTATCTCACCTTTGTAAAGAGCAGTTCTTATCAAAGCACTGGTTGTTATTTTCATCTTTGCTCTAGTAACAAAGATAAGAGAGTAACAATTTACCCTCTTTTCGTATTTACTCTAACTGTTGGAATGTAACCTCTTCTCCCACAGGTTTTTCTGTTTTCAAACACTGGAAGAGCAATTTTGCAATTTTGAAAAATATTTTACTTGGGGTCATTAATCACTGGTCTGTCATGCACTTGATTTTTATTTGTGGTCTTTTCAACAAGAGGATTTGAAGGATGACCTACGTTGTCTGTTTCCTGTTAGACTCATCTTCACTGGATCATTGTACCCGTAGCTCCAGCATTAGTGTGTCATCTTTGTCCTGACAATAAATCTTCCCTAAGATAGGGGATGCAAAACTGTTGTTAACGTTAGTGGAATTTGGAATATGCTTTGGGAATTGAGGAGAACAGAACCTAGCCATGGCTCTGGTTTTCCTTGCGGGGTGTTTTTGTACTCTGTCTTTAAATATGGTTAGACTTCCAAATGCTGATAAAGACAACTCTCTGACTTTTGTGTGGTTTTTTTGTGTTTTGTTTTTTTTTTTTAACCGGAGCACTAAAAGCAGTGGGCTTTCTTTTCTTTCTTTTTTTTTTTTTCTCCTTAAGTAATTCAGTAATGAATATGATTATTGCTTCTTAGAAAGATGTTACAAATGCTGTATACTTGCTTCCTGAAGATGATATTGAGTATATATAAGTTGTATTGGCTTAGTAGAGTGAGGCTTGCAAAGCAGGCTGACCACTGACTATGTTTTGTACTTATATTTTGAACAGTATATTAATGGGCATGACAAAGAATTTCACAAAATAAATCCCTTAACGCTGAGAAGAGGGGAGATGCTTAAAGGAGAAAGGAATTAATAGCCTTTCTCTTTACAGGATCCTTTTTTCCTCTTAGTGCATGTAATTCCCTCTTAGGAACCGTGGGATTAGTGCATGTACATCAAGGGGAGAATAATCAACATTTCGTATTTTCTTATCGTAACTTATTGGTCATGCTTTCTTTTTGAAAATACAATAGATACATTTTGTTCTTCTAAACAGACATATCAGTAACCATTTGGAAAACTGAAATATACAGCAGTGCACAAAACAGTAAAAAAAAATAACACAAATATCTTCATTTTGAATTTTATCTCCTCAAATAGGGGGTTTTATACACACGCGCGCACACGTGTACACCGAGTATGTATAAATTAAAATGACTGGAAATAGCTGAAGTTAATGTCACTAATGAAGACTAGCAGGTGGCTTGGATGGGAAAAGTGAGCATAGATTTTATATCTTATTTTCTTCTGGTTTAATAGAACATAGCTTGTATATTTGACTACCAAGCCCTTTAAGAGCAATAATAAACAAAAATATATCATGGTTTTTGTCTTTTGCTTTTCAACCATGCTAGGTTTAATAAACTTAAAGCTATAGGAGCATTTTCTCTCTCCACCTTTCAAAACTTTAATTTATTGCTTGATTGTTTGGGCTAAATGTCGTATTCTCCAGTATGGACTTGCAAGCTGACTGCTGTGGAGTTGAGCACTGACTCTGAAAATGAATGGTCCTCAGGCTAATGTGGACAGATGCTATGCTCTTGGCCTTGGCAGCACTTGTCGTTTCATGAAGAACAATGATGTTGCTCTCAAAGTGGGATTTGTGGTTCCAAGGTAGCATCATGTTGACCTACATCTAAGAACCCCGTGGGAGAGCTCGGAAAATGCTGGCATCGTGGCATCTCCTGGTTAGGAAGGCACAAAAAGCTGATGCTGAAGAAGGACCAGATAAATGGTATCTGGAGGTCTTGGCTCGGAAGGGATTACAGTTCTCTGTTGCTCATTGTGGGCTGAATGTGCTCTTGCAATTGACTTTGTGTTGCTGAGCAAAATATCTGTCTCCAGCACAGAAAGCATAGGCAACTTTCCTTTGTTCTGCTTTAACTTGTCTTGAAGGGCTCTACACGTAAATGCTGACCAATGAATATTACTACTACCTTTGTCCTAATTGCCTAGTATTCACAGAAGAAGTGAGTGTGTCTGCTCACTTCCACGTGATACCACTTGTATCCATCTACTGATGTCTGTATATTTGCTTGCCTGTATTTTTTGCAGATGGTTTGCTTATGACCTCTTAGCTGGAACTTGGAGCTTTCCAGTTCAACCATTCCCATAGAAATCATCTCACATAGCTGGGCTTTTGTCTTCCTGCATTTTGGCACTGGTTGGTGTGCTCAGTAAATCTGAAGTGGCATAGTTGTGTTAAATGATAATGCAAATTTGCTGCTTCAGAGCAAAACTTTATTAGGGAAGAGGAGTCCTTCTCTCATATGGGCTCATATCACTGCCTGGTAACAGGTCCCTCTGGCATTGATGAAGTCAAAGAAAAGAAAGCTGGGACAAGGTCTTTGCTAACAGTTGGAGTAACTAGCAAGCAGGGGTTGCTGTGTGTCTGATAATTGCTAAAGATACAGGTTTTGTCAGGGACTACCCCAAAATCTGATTTTGATTAAAGAAATGTGAGGTTGGAGGCTTTTAATAATGCTGAGTTCACACTATGCAGAGTGTTTCAGATTGAAGACGGAAAATAGTCACATATTTTTGCATCTTGGAGAAGTGTATATTAAGTCTCAGGTCAAGATTGGACAGGCCCAGACCAAGTGTATTTCATTCAGGTGCTGGAGGCCAATGCAGGTAGAAGTGAAAAATCCATTCCTAAATTTCCTTTGAAGATCAGATGCAGCAGTGGAGCTCACAGCACCTCCTGGCTGCCTGCGTGCTTATGTCACTTGGTGTGAAGTTTCTGGTTCACAGCAGATGATTACTACACATTCTTGTTTATGCCTGTGGAAAGAGGCCCATCCCCATAATGGTGATGCTGAATTTGTACTTTGATCCAGTTTGTCATAGCTACTCGTTTCCATGTTTCTGAACCTTCTGATCCATCATGGGCTGCTCCAGGGCCACCAGTGCTGAGTGAAGCTGGGATTTGAAGTAGGTAATAGTCATGCTGAGAGCTGCAAGGTGCATCGCTGAAGGGAGGAGGAACACCACGAGGAACACCACGAGATGGAAGGAGGAGGAACAACAACAGGTCCGGCCAAATTCTTTCCCTGAGAAAACTGAGCAATTGCCAGGAGCTTTGCAAACCAGAGATAAGCGTCTGTGTGGGCAGGCAAACTCTGACTCTAATATGAATGTGAAACCTTCCTGGGACAACTTCCAAGGTAACCCTTGCCATGTTCATGTGATTGGTGTCAATTTGTCTTGAAGGGCTCATCTCCTTCTTACAGATGGCAGCTCTTACTCTGCCACACTTCCCCTTATTTATCTTGAAGACTGGTTTATCTGATTGTCTCAGCAATCTCTGCATCAAGATCCTTGCAGATTGTTGGTTGTGGTTGGTTTTTTTTTTTTTTTACCTTGGATGATTTTGAGGAAAAACTTGCTGAAAGTCAAATGTTAGAAGGTCCATACCACATTTGGTAGCCACCAGAAAATGTCATGAAAATATTTCACAGTTTGGAATTGGGAAGACACTGGATTGGCATCTGTAAGCAAAACATGTCGTGTTTCTCCTGTCTTCAGCCTCTCTGGGTGTATGGAAAGCTGCTTGTTGTATTTCTTAAAATACTATACCTGTATTTATAATCCACTCTTCAGTTTTTGAAACTGTGAAGAAAGTTAATTGGTACACTTTCACTTCTGAGAGCAGTTGAGTGTTGCTGATTGTCTATTTCTAAAAAGCTTTATATAACCAGAAGCAGCATTTTCTCTTTTTAAGAGGCAATGCATTTTTAAAATAAACACTTTAGCAGAAACTGGAATATAGTGGTACTTTTAAAATCTAAATTGGAAGTATTTAATGTGGGGGCTACCACTACCAATTTTCAATCTTTGACAAGTTTTGTTTCCTTTTTATTTTGGCCAAGGTGTGTTTTCAAGGAAAATGCGCAGATTTACTAGTCACAATAAAATTAGTTTGTGAGGGGAGGAAGAGTGGGTAGCAGAGGCTAGTCAAGAATGAATTTTTTTACTTTCCCAAGGCATGAGCTGGTTCTATATACCTCCTTTATTACGTGCA